TTGCATGTTCTCCCCGTGTCTGTGTGGGTTTCCTCCCACAGTCCAAAGATGTGCAGGCTGGGTGGATTGGCCATGCTAAATTGCCCATAGTGTTCAGAGATGTGTAGATTAGGTGGGTTATATGGGGATGGGTCTGGGTGGGATGTCTGAGGTCGGTGTGGTCTTGTTGGGCCGAAGGGCCTGTTTCCACACTGTAGGGATTCTATGACGCAAGCCAATATGAACGTTCCTGTTCCTTCTGGCCAACAAAAGACTGAAACATTTTTGATATAATTTATTTTACTGGTCCTCTTCTCCTCCCAGATTCCTTTGCTGACAGTTTTGCCTTCCCTTCAGTCAGTTTCTATTCCATTCCCAGGTATATTGGGGTTGTTGAGGTTGGTTGGCTCGCCGAGCTGGTTTCTTGTTTCGCAGACGTTTCATCACCATGCTTGGTAACATCTTCAGTGCAGCTTTCTTGCCATTTGAGCATGTTGCGCCCGTAGGTCTCTAAGGTTTTGGAGTAGATTTGTAGCTCGAGTTGTGGTTGTTGAGGTTGGTTGGCTCGCCGAGCTGGTTTCTTGTTTCGCAGACGTTTCGTCACCATGCTTGGTAACATCCTCAGTGCAGCAATGCGTCTGCGAAATAAGAAACCAGCTCGGCGAGCCAACCAACCTCAACAACCTCAACACCCACAACCCGAGCTACAAATCTTCTCCAAAACCTTAAATTCCCAGGTATACCCTGGCTCCTGACAACTTTGAGCTTGTTTAGTGGCTTTTAACTTGAATCTTTGCCAAAAACCATAGTTGGGCTACACCATAGCACTGACATGGGGCTTTCCACGGTCCATTCAGGCTGTTACTTGCTCCAAGACAACAACCAGACAGAGTCATGAATCTACTCTGGATGCTGTTCACATAGATTGGTAACATACAAGTAGCCATTACGTTACACCTGAACATCAGTCCTAAGAGGTTACGTGGAATGAATGAAAGTCAATTGTTGCCTTTATCTGTTTAACTGCCTTTTTTTAAGATGGAAAATACCTTTTTATAATTTTCCAGTCCTCCAATGAGTCTTTTATAATAATTGTTACTGCTCTACAAATCCTCTCCCGAGTTCCCCTCAACACTTGGGAGACGTAGGTTACCCATACCAAAGGATTTCATCATAGTGAGCTAATTTAGCCAGTCTAGGATTCCATCACATTTACAATGAAACGATTAATTTGATTTGGGATATCTTTGTCTCAAGAGGGCACATTGCCCATCTCCCTCACTTGCGGGATATTGGCATTCAGAATATTTACTTTATGTTCTCAACCTCAGAATCGATTTTGCTTGCAACTTTTGTGATTTTCACCTCTTTGGCTCTCCTTTTGCCCTTGCACAACTGAATTTCTTTCTGCTGTTAAGCTTACCTTCAGCTGTTATATTTTTCTTCTCAGATTTTTCTTTTGCCTTAATGAAGGCCTTACTAACATGGTTGACCAATTTTTCCATCCATCCCATACATCCCTGCATCTTTGTTCCTGCAAAGCTTCTACACATATTTTTCCTTCTTTCTCAATTTGAATTTGTTTTCCACGCCCTTCAAGGGTCATGCTTGTTTGGTCTGAGGTTTTAGGATTTGGTAATATATGTACTCTTATCTGACAACACTAAATCTCATTTTGATGAAAATTTACCATTTAGCTCCAATGGACCAGTTGTTCAACAATCTCATGCAATCTATTCATTTTACCCAGCACTGATCTTACTCCTAGTATTGTTAGTGAGCAAGGGAGGCTAGATTGAGAGACAGCTCAACACCATCCAGGACTAAGCAGCCCACTTGATTGGCACCCCATTCATGACCTTCAACGTTCACTCCCTGTGCCTTTGCAAACAAGGGTGACAGTGGACACCATCTATAAGAGTGCGGCAACTCAGCAATGTATCTTTGACAGCTCCTTCCAAACCCACTAGAGCCTCAGATGCATGGGACCAGCACCGACTGCAAGTTCCCCTCCAAGTTAATGACCATCCTGACATGGAGCTATATCGCTGTCCCTTACTGTCACTAATCGCTGCGTTAAAACACTGGAACTCCCTTCCTCACAATTTTGTGGGTGTACATCTCCACCACCCATCCAGCACCATCCCCTACACGCATCCCCCCCACCAACCCCTGCCACTCTCCGTAAAGTACAGCAGTTCAAGAAGTCAGCTTGCTATAGCCCCTTCTCAAAGGCAATTATAGATGGGCAATAAATGCCAGCCTAGCCAGAGATGCCCGTATTCCACGAATACATAAAACAAAACTTCATGATGCTTATTCATGCAAACTGAAATGATAGGGGAAAATCAGCATCGCTTCATACCACTGTCAGCGTGCTTCACAAATGTCTACCACACCCGACGACAGAAATAATTTTGGTTGATGATCAATGTTGACAACCCTGAAGATGGTACTTTGCTGTCAAAGATTGAAAAGGTCCATATTTTTTGAAATCTTAACTATTTACCCCATCTTCTTCAGCGGCTCCTTTAGAATTAGACATGTCTGGCCTTTGGATATATACCTAGAGTCTTTGGTCCCAAGGCATTGTGAATGAAATCAGTCAGTACTTATTAATTCTAAAAAATGGCATGAGTTCCATTTCCTGCATGCTGTCCAGCCATTGCTTCTTGTCACTTACCTAACGGAAGCACTCAATAGCAGCTGGAATTCGTGGCTATATCTTCAGAACAAAGAATTCTGAAGGGGAAAGTAAACACTCCTGATTTTCCTCATTCTCAATGCATCAAGGAAATTATAAGAAGCAGCACACATCTGGGTTTGGCAATATGAATGATCAGGAAATCAGACAGGGAATAAAATTTGAAGCACAGTTAGAGGGCTCTTATCTGCAGAATGACACGTTCTGGAACACGGGAAATGCTGACGCTTAGGTGCATGTCATCTTAAAGGGACTATATGCGGAAACTGCACAAGGAAACAGACATTTAGGACAGATGGAAAGGTAATTCTAAAACATGTCAATGGAGGACAAGGAATGTTGAGAAATCCACGTGGTGACTGAGCAGGTTCTAACTAATGACTCCCCCTACAGAAAAGAATCAGATTCATTTTTAATGGCAATCATAGGCCACATCTTTTGTTAGAAAGGTAGTGGACTGACCCAACTAATCTCTTACAGACACCAGCATATCTTCAATGGGTGTCACATCGATGAAGATAGAATTTTGGAACATGCATCCCCTTCAATTATTATTTTTTTCTGGTTTTCTTGTCTTTCCTCTGTTTGATTCTTATTGTCGAGATTTCACTTTCAATGACCACCTCTAGCACCATCCCCAAATAAACCTGCATGTGTATGGCAGCTAAATATTTGTCTCAGTCCAGCGCTATCTCCATCCAGTGGCCAAAAATGCAGATATGGTACAGAAGGGGTCCGTCATGGCCATAAGAAGCTCATCTGGGGTACTGCAATTGCAGTGTTCCCATGATTTCTCCAGATAAAGTCAGAAAACCCAGCACAGACTAAGGATTGAACGTAGAACCTTTTCATTGTTCTGGTTATGTACCACAACTTAGAGCATATTCACCAACTAGCCCACTAGGAGATCTCACTGCTTATACTTTCATTTTTGGAAGAGAAAGATCTATGTATAGTTGCTTAGTGGTGAAAAATGAGAGTATTGCTGAAAAAGTGACATGCTGTTGAAACTTTTCATCAGGACGAAATTGCAAGAATACCAAATCTCAAAGGGAACAGCGATTTATGCCACATTATTGTTCCTTTTGATACTGAGTGTACGTATGATTCTGTCCTGATGAGTGCCAGGCAAATAGTTTTGAAAACTCATCATTTTTTTATTTCAGAAAGCTGTTTAAGGTTCATCTATTTGAGAACTTCCCCGGAATTAAATTTTCTTTTTTTCACTGTTCCACCCCATGCACATGCCAGGTTTGATCAAGTGGGATCTGTTTTGCTTTGTCCCAGCCATTTTCCTCATCCCCAATTTCAATATGACCTATATTATTACAGGAATAATATTGCCACTTTCTCCAACAATGGCTTCAGAACCCCCTTGTGAAAGAGATGATTAACTTGTGAACTTTTCACACGACTATGACTGCATCAAATCTACCCAAACTCTTCAGATAGATAGGAGTGGTGGCTGTTTTTAGAAAGAAAATTGGCTTTCTCCCAGCTAGGAACTGGATCCAAATTCGGATCCCACAGAATAAAATCTGAATCTATTGGTGTATCCAGCCCCAGAATATTAGAGGTTTTCAGTTTTTAAACCTTTGACAAAGTCTTCCCCAATGTTTCTCTGTTATTTTTAAAATGCCTGTGCTGATTGCCACTCATTCCAACAAAGCTAGGCGATCAAAATATCTCTTAGTTCAAACTTCCTACATTTTTGATAATAGATCCCTTCTCAAAATGAATCATCTGCTCACCCTGCAGTATCATTTTCAATGTCGAGTTTCACTGAAAGTCCCGTGTGGTGTAGATACTTCAGATCAATATCTTGTCAAACATTAACTGAACTTAACTGTCTGACTCAAGTGTTACAACATTGTGGAACGAATACGAACATATTTTTGAGACTATCTTTTTGAACAACGAGTCAATGAGCAACATTGAGGTTTCAATTCATTGCACAAAATTTATGAAGAGTAGCAAAGATCTCACTTGAAAGCCAAGACATTGTTTCAAACAAATACTAAACTGTCCTGGTCCATGGCTTATTGCTTCACCTGAATGTCAATTCAAATATGTACTTTCGCCGAGCTCATTGCACTGCATTGCGATCAATAACTGTGCAATATTAGCAGCTATGTATAAATATATCATTGTGTCAGTCTTTTCTGTTGTTCTTTAAAAAAAATGCATCTAATGGTAGAATCGATACCATTATTCTGCCCTAGAAACTCCATCCCTGAGTAATTAACACATCCACCCCAGGTCACACCCAGTTATTACTGTTTACGTGCTACCTTATCATTTTATGGTCTTTGAGCAAGAGAGCGAAGGTTGGGTTGCCTTTATGAAGCGCACAGAGTGAGAGGGTGACAGACAGAGAAAGAGCAACTGAACGTGAAGTGAGAGGTTTCCCAGCGCTCAAGCTTGCAACGAGAGGAGAATTTTTATTCTTGTTCTTTGTGGTTTCCACCTTGGGAAAAGTAACATACCATAACACAGATTGACTATGGCAGCGGCTATTGAGACTACTGGTTTCTTGATGGGGTTGGCAGGGTGGATGCTGACTGGATCCACATTAGCGAACAATTACTGGAAGATTTCTACTGTTTTTGGAAGTGTGATCACAAGCTCCAGGTTATATGAGAATTTGTGGAAAAGCTGTGCCCAAGATAGTACTGGTGTCTTCAACTGCCGAATGTTTGAGACCATGCTTGGTCTATCCTGTAAGTGCTTCGCTTTTACTAATAATTACTCTTTAAACCTTTGACATGTTACATGTTGAAAGTCCAGGTAGATGACCAACTAAGTATCGCATGAATGGCTACCACTCAAGGAGATTGCTTTTAAAACTTTTTTTTTTAATCGCTTTACTTTAGTGGTTGTAACTTGGTTTCAAAGAGTGACTAAGTGTTACTTAGTAATTTTAACTGAACAGTATCTCTGTAGCCAAAAAGACTAGCCATCTTGAACAGGGAGCATTTTAAAAAGCAATGGATTAATAACTGGGCAAGAATGTTCTTTCATGCAATTGACTTTCTTTTAAATTTAAGATTGAACGTTGGAGAATCCTCCTTCAAGTTTTCAGTCTTCATTTTTCTCTTTAAAAATTGATTGGTATTTTAATGCTGACAATTGACATTGGTCAATGTCGATTCAAGAAAAGCATGCTATGTTTTGTTTAAAATGAAGTGATGCCTGTTATCTAAACTTATAAAGCTAAAAGAATGAGGTTGGGATAGGTTTAGATTTGTATCATCACTGAAGGACTGTTACAATTAAGTTAGAGTTTGGACTTGCTTCTTATTCATCAGAAGGTTTTTCCATCCTTTATCATTGAAACTAACTTTGTATTTGTGCTATGTATATAGATTTGTGTTGTAGGATAGTATTTTTTTAAAATTGAATTTAGTATGAGAATCAGCAAGTTACAGGAAATGGGATTAGATTAATTTAGGATATTTGGTCGGTGTGTTGGACTGAAGGGTCTGTTTCCGTGCTATAGAACTCTATGACTGTCTGACTATGACTCTATAAATGCTAATTTTTTTAAGCACAGTTTAAACCTCCTATCATCTCCTCGTACATTGGGACTATAATGCATAATGAGGTGGATGTCAGCAGGCTACATTCTTATGACAAACGTTTTGGTTTATCACCCTCAGTTAGACACTTTCCAAAGCAGTGATGGACTTAAAATTGTAGTTTGGAGCAGACACTTAATGTCAATTGAGATGATCCTAAGCTTTATTGAATAAAATTATCAGGCACCTTAGTAATGGTAGCAATATTTTGTGCCACTGAACATTAAAAAGAATTAAAAACCAGGTAAATGTTCAAGGGATGTATGTAAGACCACTGGTGATGGTAACTGGTTGTAATCTTCGGAGCACAAAAGCATCAATGAAAATATTACAATTGCTTTAGAATGAAATATTACATCGTTATTGAAGTTTCAGTTGGTTTACGAGATAGTCAAACTGAAACTCGGTAGTTCATAACCTCCATTTCGATTTCAAGTCTCATCAGTGCCCCACAGCAGTTGTGAAAGTATCAAAATGGATGTCAAAATGGAGGCCAGCATTATAGGCACGGTTTACAAACCTTGTAAAAGATGTTTTCTTTTAAAGATATCAAACAGACAATATAAAACATTGAAACCATGATTTTCAAAGAAGAAACATTAGAATTTTCATGCAGTATTGTATACTTTGGCTCAAATGGAGTTTTTACTCAATTCCTTTGAATTAGTTCTACCTACATATATTTACCTAAGATTAATTAACTCTTATAGTTTTATTTTTCCAAATTAATCTTTATTTAATTAGTATCTAAGAATCACTTAATTGTTAAGGCAAGTTGATGGGTTAACTTATTAAACCAGTTTGGAAAGACAATGCAAGTTTAGTAGATATTTCCAAGTAGCTTTCTGGCTCGCTAAAATCTTGCAAATTGACGATTTTTAAAGAAATAACTTTAAATCTATCAAACTTTTGTAAACTGTTGCAACCAGGGGAGGAGGAGTGAATTAGCTCCCCTCTTTTTAATCCCCTCATTCAGCTGTGGGAAAGATATTTAATTATTTTGGCATATAATTTAATTAAAATGTCATACTAGTTCAAAATTAAGCAGTTAATTACAAACTTTTCTTGACTGAAAGAAAGAGAAATATTATTACTTGCTACTGTAAGAAAAATAATGGAAGACAACATCAAACACATACACAAGCACAGGTATAATGTTTAAAAAAGAGAGTGTTTAGTTGAAAAAGAAGGAAGACTGGGAATTTGCAATTTTAAAAGTCTTAAGAGTTCTTGAACTGTTAGATTTAGCTTGAGACCACACTTGCTTTGTTGATGAATTGTATTCCCGACTTATGCAAAATTTGTAGATATCTTTGAGTTCTTGATAGATGAATTTTTTTTTCCAATTTGCTCTCTCACTGAGTATTACTTTTCAAGAGGCTTTGTGAAACAGGAAGAGAGAGAGTGTTCCAGTTGTCCTGTCACAAGTGCATTTTCTTTTTCTGCTTGCCCCAAAAGAAACACAGTTCATTTGTGCATGCCCATGTCTAGCTTCATTTTTTTTCCAAGCAGGATAATCTGCAAGTGACTTTCATCCCAATATGTGAAACATCCAACAGGTGTAAATCAAGCAGTCCTAATGACTGTTAATTTCAGACCAGATCTTTTTCATTGTTAGCTTCATAAATTTGGCTTAACCAGGTTGGAGGACTACTATGACTATGATAGGCCAGTGATTTTTATTAGTTCTTTAAAAAATACATTTTAGTCTATAAAGGTCCCAGAGATGACGTCAGATGATGGAAGCTGAAAATTGATTGTTCATAACAATAATGTTGCAGGAATTAATTATTTACCCTTACAAATTAGTAGGAACTTTTTGAGCATAATCTCTGAAAGAACTATCCTATAGGTCCCAATATTCCTGCTCTTTCCTCATAATCATTCAATGTTTTTCTTTTTAAGCATAAATCCAGTTACCTTTAGAAAGGTACCATTGAATTTGTTTCCATCATCCTTCTAAACAACACACTTCGTGTAAAATTATTTCCCTTAATCTCTCCCAAAAGTTCTTTTGTCAATTATTTTAGATGTATCCCTTTGTTTACCAACCAGTCCATGAGTAGAAACAGTTGCCCCTTATTTACTCTATCATTTCCCTACAAAAGTGTTGAACATCCCTATGAATTCTCTGCCTAACCTTCTTTGCTCTAAGCAACTTGAATTAAAAATAACTTACACATTAGGTGTTCATCAGTCATCCTCACTTTGACTAAGTTCATCTGCTTAAATGAGATGGTCAACCTATTAAAATAACAAGCTGAATGTGAGAATATGTCTAGGATGGGAGGGTAACTGTCTGAAAAAGTTATAAACCTTGTATTTCAATGCAGTGGGCAGATCACATTTGGAGTACACCGTGCTAATTGTGCTGTTAAAAGAATGTAAATGCATCTGGAATGGTACAGAGGTGAGCAGCAATAATCATCTCAAGGCTGAGATGAAGAAAGTTGAGAGGCCAGACATTAAGATCAAAGATTACAAGGGGACCTTATCAAAGTGCCTAATATATTAAATAGTGCAGAAAAGATAAAACCAGATAATTTCAAAGTGAATTGGGTTACCAGGACTGGAGTGAGTAATGTTAAATTATCTGCAATTATAGCTGTTTATTCTTCAGAAACCATTTTCTTCAAACAAATATTGATAACAACCTTCCAGGTGAAGTTGATGGTGCAAGTACAATGGAACATTCAAAATGCAGTTGGATGGATAGTCAGTGGCCCATTGATTATTTTATCTGACCTTCTTTGACTAGTCTAATGTTCTTTTATGATTGTACTATACTGCTCCATGTTTAGCAGGCATCTACTAGCTAAACCATTCTGCACTTAAGTTGCAGCAATACGGCAGGGTTGGTAGGTGCAAATTGAGCACCAGTGGCACATGGTGGAGCAGGACTGCCTAAGTACTGGGGGTGTGAGGGAACCCAAGTGAAGTCCCAGCTACAGATAGACCTTTCCTGGAAACAGGAGTCCAGCTGCATGATTCCATGCTAATAATGGAGGAGAGATATCCTTCCAGTTATCTTCTTTCCTTTCTTTATCCTGCATTGTACCTGTATTAGGTGTCTGTGTCTTTCTTGCCCACAAATAGAATGCAAAGGATCAGGCATTTCCAGCACTCATACAGCAATAGTAGTCAGACAATATTAATTAGACAATATTAATGTTCATGGATTCTGGAGTGGTGTTGTATTGATAATGTTACCAGATTAATAATCCAGAGGCCCAGACTAATTCTTTTTTAAAAAAGATTCATTCATAGGATGTGAGTATTGATGGCTAGGCCAGTATTTATTGCTCAATTCTAATTGCTTTGGAGAAGAGGGTAGTGAGCTGCCCTCTTGAACCACTGTAATCTTTGGAGTATAAGGACACTCACAGTGCTATGAGGAAGGGAGTTTCAGGATTTTGTCCCAGTGACATTGAAGGAGCGATGAATTAGCACCAAGTTGGAATGGTGTGTGACTTGGAGGAGAGCTTGCAAGTGATGGAGCTCCTGTGCATCTGCTGCCTGTGTCCTACAGAGGGCAGAGGTCGCAGGTTTGGAAGGTGCTGTCGAAGGAGTATGGCTTTGAGGACTTGAGTTCAATTCCTACCATGGCAGAAGATGGAATGTGAAGCCAATTAATAAATCTGGGATTAAAAGTCAATCTCAGTAATGGTGACCATGAAGCTATCACCAATTACCATTAAAAAAAACTCATCTGGTTTGCTTATGTCCTTTAGAGAAGGAAATCTGCTATCTTTACCTGGTCTGGCCGATATATGACACCAGAACCAGCAGTGTTGTTGACTCCTAACTAATTTCTGAAATGGCAGGGTGAACTACTCAGCTCAGTAATAATTAGGGATGGGCAACAAATGCTGGTCTTGCCAGCAATATCCACAACCCATGAAAGAATATTTTAAAAAAGTCTTAGCTGTTGTGGTGACTAATGGGTAAGTTCAGTGATCCCATACTTCCAGCATTAAACTTCATTCCATGGTAACTGGAATCAGACAATCAAGCAGCCTTGACTCTGAGCTCTGTCCTTTAAGACATGACATGGGCAATCAAGTTTCATTGAACTTACCTCAATGATGTAACTCATCTTATCATGGCTGAAAATTTGTTTCCCAGTGAAATATTTACACATTTCATATACACTCACATATTTACCAATAAATCAAATTGCAGCCGCAATCAGATAAATGGCCGAAATTGAAAAGTTGCATGGAGATGGGGGAGGAGAGGGATGAGGTGTGCATTAAATTGCATTATCTCTTTCAAAGAATTGACATGATCATGATGGGCCAAATAGCTTCCTTTTTTCATTGTAAGTCTATGATTCAGGAAGCAGGGCTTAGGACAGTGGACTATTTCAGAGCCCAATAACTAAGACCCAGAATTCTGAAAGGTCTACTGCCTTCAGCTCACAGGGTCAGGAGCCAGGAGCCTGGGCCTGGTGCAGCATTGGAGCCCACTGTTTCTGTCCATGCACCTGGTCTTATGATTCCACGGCAAATATGTGTCAACCTTCAAGATGTCCCAAATGAAATGTTTCAAGTCACTGAAGCATGCAGAAGTACAATGAGCTGTAATATGTGTTTAGCCAATGGTGATGTTTTAGGGAGTGTCACAAAATGAGAATCTTTCCTGCATGATTCAGGAAATTATCTAACCATGTGAATTGATCGTTCAATTTGCCAAAATATTAGCTTTAGATATAGGTGCCTTTTGGCGAACTCAGTGTGATCAGAAATCAACTTGAATTTCATCCTGTTTATCCTGATTTTTGTCTTCATTAGTTGCAACGTTAGCAACAGGTGGTAGGATAGCTCGATGATTAACAAACAAGAATAAGTTTGTGGATGGTTGACACACCCTTTCTATGACCTCAACATATGTCTGCCAATATGCCCTACCAAGGAAGCTTCCAGAAAATATAAAACCTGTAATGGCACGACCTTGAAGGCTACAGATGGAAGATGCCTGTGTAGCTTTAAGACTTGCCATAAAATGGGCATTGTATATTGAGCGCCCATTACACACCTGGCATACAGGGCCATTGACTTCTTTCAAAATTTAAATCAGAGGAGAATCGGGGTGGGATGGGAGTGCTTCTGTAGCATTATTGATCTGGCATAATGCCAATTGAAAATCCATGTCTGAAGGTCAGACCTTCACTGAGAACAATAATGTTGCAAAAGGTGAGGCTCGATCATTGAAATGAGTAAGATGTTCACCTGCCAGATTTAGTGTCATAATTTGCGTGATTTAAGCTCCCAGGAAAATGACCAAATAAGGAAAAGGGGAGCTTACTAAATTGAAGGCATGGCTGATAAATGTTAATCATTCATTAGGTGCAGTCTTACTGGACTTAACATCCGCCCTCAAGAATATTTGAAAGACCATTGTTCTAATTACAGCGACATAATTTAATGCCATTTGTGAAAGAAACTCAGAAGTTCTAGTCAACTGAATTTCTTCATGTTTAATTAGTCAGTTTATGGTTCTGGAGAAAGAAAGAGAATTGTTTAGGTTGATAGCAGTGTCTTCCTTCAGAAATGATCTTGCTAAAAATCTGTTCTTGGTCTACTGACAACAATTTCATGTAATTTATGGGAGTATTTGCAAAATTGTTTGTAGGAATTATGCATGTTTTCGTACAGCAATGGGTGTTGTATGCATTTACATAGGCACACTTGGATGTCACGTGGCATTGTTATGATATCCCTATCTATGAGCCAGAAGCTCTGACTTGAAGTTCAAGTCCCTTGGAGTCCATGCCCAAAGATTGTGTATTCATAACGCAACCAAAAAGGATAAGTATCAACCTGCAAATCCCTCCAACACATGTCAATGGCAAGTGGAAAGAGTGGAAAACATTCTTGGTTAGCTGTGTGATGGAATGGGCATTGGACCCTCTACCATTACAGCCCATAGCTTCAGGCTGCAACATGTACATAAGAATACATGTTAGGAGACTCCCTGGGTGAACTGTAAGATGCCACCACCAACATGTATGCATACATGTCAGCATGTAAGTGGTCATGTATGTATGCCTATATTGTGATGAGACTTAAGAAAAAAATGATGTCCATCTCCAAAGTTGAAGACTCCAGCAAGATTGAAAGTAGCACACATGAAGATATATTTGACATAATGGTAGTATGATAACACCAAAATTGCACTTCAGATTAATAGAGGAAGGGGAGAACAGATAGAGGTCCATAACCCAACAGCTTTGTATTTCTTGAAAAAGTGAGCCGACATAGATTATGTGAGATTATAAGAAAGAATTATGTGTAAAAAAATGTCATTTGTCTTACTGAACATAATCTATCCATCATTATTCATCCAAAGAATCCAATTTACTTTCAACCATTCACATCTTTGATTCCATAAAGACCAGAGCTTGTATTAGTCCTTGTGTAAGGATGTTAGGAGTGAATTAATCTAGGTGATCATGTGTAAATGAATATGCTGCCCACAATGCACTCCACTCAACTGTCCTTACAGTAGAAAGTGAATTGGGCAGAGTGTAAAAGGGGCTGCAAATTCACTAACACCACTTTGCACTGTTGCCCGATTCAAACTTCAATTCCAATTGTTTTCTGTTCTGTTTTACACATGCTTTGAAATCAGCAAATCTTTTATCTAGCATTCCTGAGAAATGTGAGATTGTGGAGTCCAGTACCAGAGTTGAAGCAGAGGTTTTAGCTCAGGATCAGAATGTTAGATGTTGAAGGCATGGGGAGAAAGGAAAATGGGAAGAAGATAACTGCATGGAATTGGAACGACTGCTCATGTGGAGGTGAAGCACCAATACAGGATAATTGTCTATGTTCCAATTTAATGTTCAATAACAGTGTGGATTTATCTTATTTTTACTCTTTGGCATCTTATATAGTTTGGCAAGGTCAGTTTATTGGATTTACAATGAGGATACAGAAGGACCAGATACACTCAGACAGACAGACAGAGAGGAGAGACATGCACATAAAAATCAAAATGTTAAAAATGTAGACAGGTCATTCAACTTAACAAGGCCATGCCAGTGTTTGAGTTTCATTTGAGTGTACCTCCCAGTTTCTCTCATCTATTTATCTTCGCATAACCATTGCTGTTCCATTCCCTTTAATGTGCCTCAGCTTCCTTTAAAAACCATCAACCCTATTCACCTCAGACCTTTCATGTGATAGCAAATTCCTCTTTCTCGCCACACTAGATAAAGAAGTTTCTTCTGAATTCTCTATCTGGATTATAGGAAGAACCAAATTTGGAGAATCAATGCCCATAAGATTACAAGAAATGATCCCATTGTTGCATGCTGGAAGATAGTTATGCTCAATATGAGCAGGAGTGCTGAATGTGATCTACACTGTGATTGGGTATTCAGTTTGTGTCTCCATTATATGTAGTTTCCCATAAGGAGCATGGGTTCATGGAGTGATCAATTCTGTGAGCACCTCACGTTTTGAGACTTTACAGCATAGTGTGGGGACCGGGATTAGAATATTCCCAATCACTGCTGTACTTCTGCATCAAGTTTAACATGGGGTTTCTTAATATATGAACCCCAGGACACCATGTTCTTCAAGTGTCAACCCTGTTTTCAACAAATTTCATCATTATACTCCAACATTTTGCAAATCTCACCATTTTGTCTCCTAGATAGATAGTTAAATAATTTTAGTTTGATCTTTAAGGGATTCTTTTTGTGCTCCTTGAGAGTTGAGGAAGAAAAAGCTTCCTTATTTTCGGCCAGGTCATATGAATTGACCGTCACACGTTCAATGAAAGGTCAATTGATTCCTGGCATAGATGCAGGAACAATATAACAACAACTTTACAGCAGCCAGTCAGGAGACACATCCCACCCCATCCCAGGGGGAAATTCAGATTGCCATTTTAGTAAAAAGAACTTCCAGGACAGGCAGAAGAATGTCAGAATCAAAAGAGAACACCCAAACATCTACCCAACTAGGTGCATCTCTCTTAGACTCAGAGGAGCAGTCCCAATCATGCCAATGAGGCATTTCCACTTTACAAGTCAATCATCCTTGTGCCATTTCTGAGAGACATTGCCTATTAACATGGCAAACACTTGCTGTGATCTCTTAAGGATGGCTCATGATCATCCAAACTCTTCACATAGGATTCTTACAGTCAGCAGAGAATTTGCATGCTTCAAAATGGTTTGAATTAAGTGGCTAGGAAGGGAAGAAGGAAATTCTCTTGCAGCTGTGTTAGGAAAAATGTTGGTTGTACTAACGTTCAGAGGTTTCCATGCACACTGTGATGGCTCATATGAAGGACCTCTCCTTGTGGCTGTTTCCACACCATTCCTGCTTGCACCAACACTTAAGCGTTTCGTTCTCTTGCAGCATATATCCAAGCATGTCGGGCACTCATGATCATCTCTATCATTCTGGGAGTTATCGCTACGCTGGTGGCCCTGTTTGGCCTGAAATGTACCAATATTGGCAGCATGGATGAAAAAGCAAAAGGGAAGATTTCCCTTTCTGGTGGGCTTGTCTTCATTCTATCAGGTAAGTGAAACTACAAGAAATTTCAGATAATGGGTAAGCAGGTGAATGGCGAGTTACATGCTGAACAAATACCCATGGCTGGTGATATATTTTGAATGGAGCTAAAAAGTTGGATTAGTTCAGAACTTGAGAACACATTAGAACATCACAGATAAACCTCCCGCATGGAAAAATGTGGGCGTTGACTTGAAGTCCCCTAACACATGCTGCAGGTGGTGAGACACACATTTGCAAAATAATCTATGTATGGTTGAGCGTTAAACAGTGGCCAGGAACTCTTTTGCTCTTCCTTGAAATAGCACAATGTATGTCTTCCTGAGAAGGCAGGCTTGGGATAATGAGATGTACAAAAGATGGCACCTTCTACTGTGCAGCAAAATGTCAGCCCTACAAATGACTATTTGTTTAAGTCTCTGCAATGGGATTGTTTCTTAACTTCAAAATATAAAACAAGTGCTTCTATGTAGAGGCATTCCACAATTTACATTAAAATATTATTCTTTTAGAATTTAATAAGTAGGTTATGGTGGACACTTAAAAAATCTTAATGTAATCAGGCAGAGCCAGCCTTTTGTGAAAGGAAATCATGCTTGGCTAATTTAAAAGAGTTCTCTGAGGAGGTAATAAGCAACATAGACAAAAGAAGAAGCGATTGATGTACTGTGCATTTAACAAAGTGCTATATCGAAGATAACAACACAAAATACATGCTTATGGTGGAGCAGGTAATATGTCAGCAAGGATAAGGATAGGAAGCAAAGGTTGGGCATTAATGGGTGGTCTTCAGGTTGGCACAATATGAAAAATAATATAATAACAGGAATCAGTATTGGGGTCGCAATTATTACCATCTATATCAATGTGCTGGATGAAGGAACCAAATATATTATTGCTAAATCAGTTGATGATACAAAGATAGACAGGAAAGTAAGGTGTAAAGAGAACACAGAAGAGTCTGCAAAGGGGTATAGATAGGATAAACAAAAAAATAGCAGAAGAAGGAATACTGTGGGAAAATGTGAATTTGCCCATTTTGGCAGAAAAAATAGAAAAGCACCATATTAGCTAAATAGAGAGAGAAGCTGAGGAGCCTTGAGATACAGAGGGACCCAGGTGTCCTGGTACATGAATCACAAAACTTTAGTATGCAGGTGCAGCAAGTGATTAGGAAGGTAAATGGAATGATGTCGCAATGGAATATAAAAGTCGGAATGTTTTGCCACAGTGATGCAGAGAGTTGGTGAGGCTACATTTGGAGTACTTCATACAAGTTTTATTTTCGCTTTATTTAAGGAAGGATGCATATTCATCAGAAACACTTTAGAGTAGGTACACTCGACTGATATCGGATAGGGGAGTTAATGTGAAGGATGTTTCCCCTCATGAGAGTTACTAAAATGAGGCCACATCAATTAAAAATCAGGGATCTCCCATCTAAGATAGAATTGAAGAGAAACATTTTCTCTCTTTGGAACTCTCTTCCCCAGACAGCAGTGGAACTAGGTCATTGAATACTTTAAAGGTAGAGACAAATAGATTTTTTGACTATGAAGGGAGTCAGTGGTTACAGTGGTAGATGGGAATGTGGAGTTGAGGCCACAATAAGATCAACCATGACCTTGTTGAATGGCAGAGAAGTCACGAGGGACTGAATGACCTTTCTTCTGCTCCTAATTTGGATATCCATACATTTTCATGTTAAAAATTACATGAGTCACATTGGGTGCTGCAGATAGCAAGTAAATGACTAGTTATAATTGAAATGCCAGTTTGCTAATAAAAGCACTGGTATTATGAGTAAGCTTTACTGGATGCTTCTCCTTGAGATAAAGTTAGCAATTATAGCACCATAAAAACATATAGCACAAAAAAAGGAAGGGGCACAGTTCATTGAGCCTGGGCAGCCTGTTTGAAACTGCTATATATTTAGTCTCACTTCACCATCACTCCCCAGCCCCCAACTCCATTTTGCCCTTCCAATTGATCCTTTTCAGGAAGCTGTCCCAGATCGCTGCCATAGAATCTGCTTCCGCCCTTGTTTCACGCAATGGATTCCAGATTGAAAATGCCACCATGAACAGTAACTGAGCCGGAAGTACCAATCAGTCACGGTTCAAATGTTGACTCTCTATAATTAGGATTCTTATCCACTCAATGTGAGTGACAAGTGATGAAGAGGCTGTGATCGAAGATAGCCTTCAGTTCCTCAGGAACTGCGTTGCCATCAATTATTGAATAGCCCACTTAAGATTGGGATAACTTCCATACAAATGTAGGTTGAACTGATTATTCATTGCCAGGGATGAGTGTCACTATTCAAAAGATATTTCATGGTCCAAATATCTTACAACTTATATTATGCTCTGAGCTTAAAGTTGACTGACAGGAAACAGAAAATAGTAATTTTGCCAAACCGGAGGAGAGTCTACAGTTAGTTTCTCAGTGGAACTAGGACCCTTGCTTTTCCTGATAAACATTAATGAGTTAAGCTTGGGTCTATAGGTCACATTTTTAGATGGCACTTAATGTGAAAGTGCACTGTGAGGAGGATAGTGACAGACTTCAAGTTGGCATAGACTGGGCCGGTAAAATGGGCAGACACATGGCAGGGTGCAATTTAATGTAGAGAAGTGCCAAGTGATTATATTGGCAAGAAGAGGCAAAATATGTGGAAAAGCAGGCTACAGGACGGATGCAAACAGTTTACAGGGAGATATTGACAGTTTAAGTAAGTAGGTAAATGGAGTAACGTGATGGAAAATGTGAGAAACTACAGAAGATGGTGTGCACAGTCCAGACCATCACAGAAGCCAACCTTCCATCCATTTATTCTATTTACATGCCACATTAAGGCGGCCAACATCATCAAAGACACATCACACCCTAGTAAGGAGCTCCTACAATCCCATCCATCAAGCAGAAGGTATAGAAGTCTGAACACACACACAAGCAGGTTCAGGAACAGCTTCTTTCCTGCCGTTATCAGACTGTTGAACAGACTCTAGCCTCAAATAATGTAACCTGCAATGTAACCTGTATGCCTCTACGCCTTTTTGATCTGGACATCCTTTGCTTGCTATGATTGGCCTGTACCTCTCATAAACAAAACTTTTCACTGTATTTCAGTACATGTGACAATAAAATCAATGAATCAATCAAGTTGTTCATTTTAGATGGGAGAACAAATGAACAGCATATTATTTAAATAGTGAAAAACTGCAGAAAGCTGCAACTCAAGGGACATGGAGTTGCTTGTACATGAAGCTGGGATACAGGTGCAGCAGGTAATCAGGAAAGCTAATGGGATGTTGACCCTTATTTCAAGAGAGTTGGAGCATAAGCGTCGGGAAGTCTTATTGTACAAGGAACTGGTGAGACCACATCTGGAGTACCGTGAGTTTTCGTCCCCTCATTTAAGGAAAGACTTCACTTCTTTGGAGGAAGTTCAGAAAAGGTTCACTAGGATGATCCCTGGTATAGAGGGATTGTCTTATGAACAAAGGTTAAACAGGCTGGGACTCAACTCACTGGAGTTTAGAAGAATGAGAGATGATCTCCCTGAAACATATATGATTCTTAAGGGGCTTGATAGAGTAAATACTGAGAGTATGTTTCCCCTCATGGGAGAATCTAGGACCAAACGGCACAGTCTCGGAATAAAGGGGTGCCAATTTAAGACTGAGATAAGAGAAATTTCTGCTCTCAGAGGGTTGTGAGTCTTTGGAACTTTGCCACAGAGAATTGCAGGGGCAGAGTCCTTAAGGCTGAGATAGATTCGTGATCAGTTAGGGAATCAAAGGTTAAGGGGAAAGAACAGGAAAGTGAGAATTAGGAATGTCGGATCAACCATGATCCTATTGAATGGGAAATCAGGCTCCATGGGCTGAAGCCTAGTGCTCTTCCTATTTCTTTTGGTCTTATGGATGCAACACAAAATACAGCTACAATTTTTACAGGGACAAAAAGATTGGTAGGAGTATAGGTTGAACTTGGCCAGGCAGGTTGAAAAGTGGTCAATAAGATGCATAGATCCTGGCCTTTAAAAATAGAAGATTTGAGTAGAAAACCATTATATTATGAGATGTAGGTATAAAACACAAGGGGTTGTCCTCAGCTAGAGAATGGGGTCCACTCTTTAGGAAAGTCTTCAGCAAAGTCCTTTATTAAAATTGGTGCAAGAATAGATTTATAAGAATGGTTCCAAGGTTGGATGATTTTAGTTATATGGGTCAAGTGAAGAACCTGGGATTGTTCAGAGAAGAAACAGCGAAGAGAAGAAGAGTTCAAAGCCACAAGGAATCCAGATTGAGTAGACAGAGAGAAAAGTCTCATTAACAGAAGACACCAATTTGTGGTAATTCATCAAAGAAGCAACAGTGACACAAAGTTTTTGTATGCAGTGAGTGATTAGGAACTGGAATCTGCCTGAGATTCAGGAAGGTTCAGTCATGTCATTCAAGGGAGAATTGGATGAGTATCTATAAAAGAACGATGCAGAGCTGTCGGGAATGGGTGTTGGAGTGTAATTAACTCAGCTGCTGTGGCAGATGCCAGTACAGACTCGACAGACTGAGTGGCCTCAATCTGTGCTATAACCATTCTACAGTTCTGTGATTCACTCCCTAAGCAGAACTTAAGCAAATCAGTAAATATGCTCTGTTCATTGTCTGCTTTTATTTCTGAAGTTTGATGCATTCTTTCTGCTTGATTGACAGGTTTATGTGCGATTATTCCTGTTTCTTGGTATGCTTACAACATCACTATGGAGTTCTACAATCCTGTCTATGGTGGAACAAAGTATGTACACAGCATTTCATTAAAGTGTGGTACTATCAATCGTACTTCTTTCAAAAGTTAAACACATTCAAGGGGATCTGAGGATCGACTGTTCTAGTTTGCCCTTTTAGAATAGTTTGGCAGTAGTGTATTTGTATATTGGAGAACAAATGGATTAGGGAAAGATTTTTGCTGGAAATACATACTTGGCA